TGATGGTGAGGTCTATATGATTACAATTCCTATTGTTTATCCTGCCGAATTGAATTTAACTGCCAATTCTTGTTTGCATGAATGAATAGTTGATTCTGGTGCATCTTTTCACGTGACATCACAAAAAGACTGGTTTGAAAATTTGCGTGAATCAAATGATGGGCATGTTATGTTGTGTGACAATTCTGCTTATAATGTCATTGGCATTGGTGATATTACTCTTGTTACTCCTTGCCTCTAAGGCTCAGAGAGACAATGCCACTTAACAAGCCACGTAGGCAGAAGGTCAACAAGAAAATCAAATAAAGACCCATGAGGTCAAAACACGAAGAAGGCAAAATAAGGCCGAAGTCCTTACACTGCAAGGACGAAATCCAAGCTGAGGCACTACCTCAAAGACGAAGCTGCCTAAGGAAACAAAGAAATGAGCTTAGGCTCTCCACTTAGAGAACTACTTCGAAGATTCCTCCGAGGCTCTCAATTCGTCCGAAGCTCGCAAGGCTGATGATGTTCCTTGTAACAGATTCGAAGATCTCTCAGAAATGATTGATGTGACACTTGTAATAAAGTTTGTCATTATGTCAGCCTATTATGTAGAGCGACTGACCCCTTATCAATGTATTAATTGTATGAATAGACAGTGATGTGTCGTCCCAATTAGGAAGATGTGGCAACATGGTTTTGATCCAACGATCACCAAGTCGGCCAAGGTAGTATAAATAGGATCTCTTTGTAACTTAAAGGGGGCTGGATTATTGATGGAAAAACATACAATAATATATATTCGAAACGCAACTTTGAAGAAAAATATACAAACACTTGGGTTTATTTTCTGTCTTTTTGGGTATGTTTATGAGTTGTAGATTTCTATACACGACGTAGCAATTTCAATACATGTCATATCTATCTTTCCACATATTCCCGTTGGTGATTACATAGATTAGTTTGATTTCAACCGGGCGATCGTTGTCAGGGCGATTGTTTTTGTTCCATCCGCCGGAGCTCGAAATTTTTTGTCTCTCGCCGCAAAGTGTCTCTCGCGTCCATCTCCTCTTTGCTACCATAGTTATTTCGGTAGGAACGCTCCGAAATCGTATTTGACTTGGCATGAGTGGGTCCGACATCTGTTGGCTCATTTTTAGGGGTCAACAACTTTAAATTTTGACACTGGCTTTGTGCATACTTTAAAAG